CGCGAGGAGCGTTTAACGTGCCTTTCTGCTTAAGTCGGGAAAGGAAAACCAAAACCAACCCAGCCAAGCCTCTGGCTACGGGATAAGATGCAGCACAACGGCAGCGTTAGCTTGAGCCAGAGCAGCGGGCACTGACACACACCTACCCCCACTGAGGAAGGGAAGGGGGTAGCTGTCCCTTCAAAGGGATGTGACTGCCCCCAGACAGGGAGCCTTTGGGGCTGAGCAGCCCAAATTTTCCGCGTTAGCTGAAGGTTTTCGCTCGCTCCGGTGATGTTCTGTTGTGCCCACAACCAAGGGGACTGGACAGCGTGAGCCAGCCTTGCATTTTCCCCAAGGATCAGCTCCCACCGGAATGAGGTTACAGGGAAAAAGCCGCCAACCGCCCCGCTTTAAACAAGCAAAAGGTCCATTCAACCCAAACCTTCCCCTACAGATCTCCCGTCCCAGTCCCCTGGGCACATTCAGGCAACAGCCAGCCAGCCTTCCGTGCTCTGCCTTGGCCCTGCAGCCCCCCTCGAAGCAGAGGGTCTTCCCCGGGCTGCCCGTTCAGCAGCCAAAACCAGTTGGTTTTCGTTACCTAACCCCACCAGAGCCTGGATTCCGTTTGCCCTCGGCTTATCGGCAACCGCGGGGTAACTGGGGCGATGTCGATAGATATGGGCCACAGCCTGGCCCGCAACGTTCAGGGTTTCCATTGCAAACAAACCACTCTTTTTCTGCTTTTGTTTGCCTAATTCCTGAACTTTGGGTCATTTTCAGTGCTGTTTTACTGATTTCCTAAAGCCTTGAGCTTTTAGGCACGTTTAGAGTGGGGAAAAACCCACTCCATGTGCTTTCTTCCCTGCCTCCCTCCATTGCAAAGCAACAGGAAAACTCGTGCTCCTTCCAAGGAGCATCTTCCCTCAATGGAGCCATCCCTGCGAAGGGCACGGGAAGCCTACGCATTCGCTTACACCGAGAAATCCAACTCCCTCAAAACCCGTTTATGGGTTCCGACTGTTGCCGGGGCCCTGGATGCCAAGTATCTGAAACTCACTGTCTAAGCAAAGCTCGAATTACAGCTCTGCACATCTTTTTTTAAAATAAATGATAGAGGAGAGCAGCCAGCACCCTGGAAGGATCCCAGCCACAACCTGCGGGCCTGGATGGGTATTCCGCTCCTTCCAGGCTTTCCTTCGCGCATGCTGCTGCGGAACACCCTGAGGCGTTCACCTACGGGCACGAGTGAAAGGATGGAAGCACCCTAATTCAACATCTTTAGCAAAAATGCCCCAAGAGCAGTGTTTTCTGAATTTCAGGTGTCTTGGCTAGGCAAAAATTCCTACGCCTGCCTCGCTTGCTCTCCCATATCCCCTGTATTATGGGTGCCACCACTCTGCACGCTCCCAAAACCAAAATATTACAAACCAAACCGAGGCGGGAGGGGGAGAGAAGGAGAAAACAAAAGCTGTTTGTCTGCAGCAGCGTGAAGTCCCAGCAAGACACGCCGAGGAGCTCGCTTTTCACTGCCTCATCCGTTCTGCTGACTAGCTGTTGGAGGACAACTTCCAAAGGCGAGTAGAACGGGAACGCAGCAATACTGACATCACACACCGCAGCATTCCCGACGCGTTAACATCCGAGGTACGGACAAGAACCGCTTCGCCTGCCGCTAAACAGCGACACACGCAGCCGCTCCTGCTGTTAAACCACCCAGTACAGCGCAAAACAGCTTGGAAGGAGGAATAAATTTGGTACTTACCGGTGCCAGATCAGCGAGGCGGAAGGTATGGCTCACGCCAGCCTTTAGGGGTAACCAAGGCAGCACCCCACACCTGGGCAAAGCTAACGCTGCCCACTCTTCAGGGACGAGACACAAGCCCAAGCTGTGCCCAAGCTAGCCCCAGGCCTGCAGCCATTGCTGTTTTAGGAAAAAACTCTTACACCAGCCCCTGCCCAGCTCAGGGAAAGGCCTTTCCTACCTGCTCACGTCAACAGCACGTCTCCCCGCAAGGATCGCCACGAGATGTCCTAAGGCCGCACATACATTCCGTGGAGATCCAGCTCGTGAGCGCAAACATCCCAGTGACTCCTTGAGCCAACAGCAGGTGACCTGCGAAGGGACCCCAACCCCTGAGCCAGCTTCTTGTGACACTACAAAACGCTTGGATGGGGTTTTAATAAACAACAGGACCTCTATTGCATTTTGAGAGGTCCCCAGCTTCTTACCCCAAGAAGGTGGCAGCTGCAAAGGATAAAAACACCCAGAAAAACTGCTCCTGGGAAACCCCCATGTCCCTCCATCAGAGCCTCAGGCTGCACACAGCCCAGCCATCCCTGTCTTTATATCCCAGGGGTGCTGGTTCAAAGGTGAAAGGTGAAGAAGTGCTAATGATCCAAAAGGAAACGCCTCCGGATGAAGCCTGTCTCCGCTAGCGAACACCCGGCTCTCTGTGTTGGCAGGTGCCTTCTGGGGGTAAATTGAAGAAATACCTGACAGATGGGTTTAATCCCACGCAGCTTGTCCCATTAACAAACAGCAGTGTGGGACAGAAGTTAAAATGAGGGAGGTGGATTAAAAATAAGGGAAATGAGACAGATGAGATCAAGGATTGGGCCATAAATCTAACACCATGAAGGTAATCCCTCAGCAGGGGTATTTTCCCCTCCAGGCTTATCATACCTTTGCTCTGATTTCTTTTTTTAGAAGGCTAAAGGTAAATTAAAGAGCTACTTCTTGTGAGGGCAGGAAATCTGGGAGCAGATTTTGTCACCAGCCTGATCACAATTAAACACTAATTGACTAGCAGATTACAAACTCCGACTGGCTTCTCCAAGAAAAAGGAATCTCTTGGCCCCTGCCCCAAATTATCAGGTGTTTGAAATTCCCTAATTCATATCAGAGCCCATGCACAGCCCAGCTGAGATCCTCACTAGAGAAGACCCAGGGCTTTAATTTACTTAACAAACCCCAGGACTGACGGAAGCTCAGGAGCACATTGGCTGAGCTGGTTGCTCTGTGCTCTCAATTCACATTGGCCGGTTGGAAAAAAAGATTAAAACCACCTTGAAATAAGAAACGGGTTTATTGGTTGTTTGGCTGATAAAAGGTTTCTTGAGAGAGTTGCTGTGATTTTTTTTTTGTTGGCCTACTGATTCCATAGGCAATGCTGCCCTCCTCTGCAGCCTGGCTCTGAGCTGGTGGCTGCCTACGGAGGGTGCTGCCTTGAAATTAAGATATTTGTAAGGTTTCTGGAACTGGGAACGTTGGTGCTTCACAGGGCTGCTGTCACACACAAATACAGCCAAGCCTCTTCCTTTGGAGAGAAGACGCAGCCTCAAGGAAGCGGCAGGAATTGAGGAGACAGCGCTTCCCCCCTTGCCAAGCTTCATCAACTCAGAGGCTGGGTTGCCATCCCCCAACCACGTTAGCCACGACTGGGTGACAGAAAATCCCCGTCCTGAGCCGAGGGGATGTTCTGGGCTCTGCATCCAAGCTTTCCCCATGCAACTTCACAGCTCTGGCCGGAAGCGTGGCTTTGGCAGCTCCTGCCCTCAACGACCTCCCAGCTCTGTGGAAAGCAGCCAGAACGGGGCAGTCGCAGGGTAAGAGCAAGTGTGTTTTCTCTAACAGCGTTTTTCCACGCAGTGGGCCGCTGGAAGGAGAAGCGGAGGGCAGCGGCAGGGTGGGAGCTGTGCTGCACAACCCCGAACCCTTCTCCCATGCGGGGCGCGTCCTGGTTACCCGCTTTGGCGGGAGAAGGAAACTGGGGCGTTTCCCACCTTTCTCTGCCTCTGCTGGTTCCTCCAACCCTGAACTCCCGTGGGTGAGCATCAACTCGTTTTGTAGGGACCTGAGTGCACTTGGTGCTGGTGATAATAGTCCAGGATGTGTTTACCTCAGGCTTCCCTACTCAGGTCTAACCAGCACAGGATAAGTTTAGAATAAACCAGCCAATACCTTATTACATTAATTACATTATTTATTAATACTTTATTACAGCAGCTCTGCAGTAAGAGATAACTTGGTATTCCAGAATTCAGAGCCCTGTTAATGAAGAAACGCTTCTCCAGAGACGCAAACTCTCCTTGGCCTGCGCTGTACAGATGCCAAGAGCGGATCCTTAGCGTTCCCTTTACACCCCCGCTAAGAAGCAGAACCACAAGACGGTCTGCGACGGGAGAAACCTGTCACGTAGGTCGCTCAACCTCTTGAGCTGTCTGGGGAAGTGTCGTGCTTTCCTCGGGCGTCTTCGGTAATCCTGGGGATTACCCTTGCGCAGATTTTCTCCGTTGTCTGAATTCCGCGCCGTGTGCGTGACCTGATGCCAAGGAAATGGGTAACGCGGCCCAAGCCCACCCCGGGAGCGAGCGGCGTAGGGAGCCCGTCTTCCCCACGATGGTGTCACGAGATGGCACTACAGGACAGTTTTCCCTGTCCTTGTCTAAAAATTTGGACAGAAATGGCACAGGGATGTATCTTGTGTGTAGGTGAGCCCTAGGAAGCCGGAGCAATGGGATCTCAGACCCAAAAAATCTCCTTATCAGCTGCGTTTCGGGGCTTTGCCGCCGTCAGGACAGCAGCAGCTTCGCGTGGAAGTATCACAGAAGCTCAGCGTGCTTCCAGGGAAGTAGAGCTCGTGTTTTGGGGAAGCAGGGAGTCTTTTCCCTTTAGGGAAGGGCTCTGTGCCGAGGAGTGAGTTGAAGCTCCGGCAAGAGAAGCAGAAGAATCCGGAGTGCGAGAGCCTTTCCCTGTGCACCCTGCTTTACTCCGCTCCAAAAGTGAGTTACGCTCAAAAATGCTGTGAAAGAAAGATGGCGAAAATCAGGGCTTGTTGTAGCTGCCGGAGAATGACCATTTGGGAACGTTTTCTGCATTTCTGCCTCTTTCCTGGCTGCGCCTTTCTAGCCAGGCAACCTGTGTTTCCTCTCCTCCTCGCATCGGCCCTGGATGCAGCGCGTGATCCAGAGCACGAGCCACCTGGCTGGCTCCTTATCCGTCATCCTTGGCGCTTTTCCTATAGGTATGTCCCAGTGTTCAGCTCCTCGGTATCCCCCGCACTCTCCAGCGAAGGCTCGGGGGCCGGGGAATCGTCATCGACTTTAAACTTGGAGACGATCCTGGCAGTTTCCTGGGTGATCTCAAAGTGTTTGAGCTGCTGCCTCCCTCCCGAGCGCTGCCGGAGCGTGCCCGCGTCGGCCGAGCTGTTCCTGCCCCAAGCGCTCCCCTCCGGAGCGCCCTTCATCACGGAGCTGCTGTCTGCGGGGTCGCCTTCTGCACCAGATTCCGTTGCCGCCTTGGCTAACGCAGTAGCCATCACAGGCAAACTGGAAGACTTGGGAATGACAGGCTTCGTTTTAGCCGGCGTCCGAATGTATTTTACGGGTTGGCGGCTGAAATGGCACCTGGGCTGGGTCCCGAGGACCGTGTCCAAATCGCTGCCCGTCGCAGGGTCCTCCGGCTCGGAGCCAGCGCTGGTGTTCGTCTCTGAACGACAAATTAAATGGTTATTTTACAGCACTGAGACAGGGTGGGCATGACAAACCGTTTTGGCTGATGGCTAGACAGGACACCAAAACCCCTCCAACAGCCCATCAATCCAATGTGTTTGAAATGGGTAGGAATTGGGGCTTATTCTCACAGCTGCCCTCGGTGGGGTAAGGCCGGAGGCGCTGACGGGTGACCCTGGGCTCGAGGGCTGAGACAGCAGCCGGGAAAAGCCCCTCTTGGGAAGGATATCCACGAGTTTGGGTGAGCTACACGGAGTTGGGAGCAACAGGCGATCCACGCGAAGGCGGAGCGGCTGCGCGGAAGAGGGCCCGGCTTTCCGTGCTCTGTCATGTGTCGGGAGGGGTGAAAACCAGTAAAACCAGTACAAGGCAACCCGAACAGCATCACCAGCGCCTCTGGATTTACCTAGGTCATCCGTGCCTGATGGACTGTGGGCTCCCTCCGGAGTCGGCTCGTCGATGGCTTCCCTGGAAGACAGGTTGCCAGGCGCACGGTCCGCATTTGAACCACGCTTGGAGGAGGAATTCTGTTGGAAAAAGCCAGGAGTGTTTACACAGGGCTCTAATTTGACATGAAGATCCTGCCAGCTCCCGCTTCACCCCCGCTGCTCTCAGAGCCAAGTGAATGGAGGCAGCTGCTTGAGCTGGAAAACCTGGATTTGTCTTAGGTTATCCGTAACGCTCGGGGACAGGGAAGGAGCTTGCAGCAGGCCTCAGGGCAGGACCATGAGGGAAAATCATGGTTCAGGGCCTGCTGGCTCCAGCACCCAGGCTGGCAGACCACGACTGCCCCAAAACTCGCCCCGGAAAGCAGCCGGCGCAGCGGCGTGCCGAGACCGCCCCCGGCATCCCGCGGGCTGCCGAAGCAGCCCGTTTCAGAACGGAAAAAGGGGAGAAGTCAGAAACCAAGCTGTTCCTTGGAGCACAACGGGGGTGCTGGGGGGTGTAGCTGGGGTGGAACCGAGGTGAGTTTGCACAAGGATGGGGTCACCTGGGCTGGGGCTCCAGGGGTTGGGTTTAGGAACGGCAAAGCCAGAGTGCCCTTAGAAGAAACCTTCCTAAAGGTTTGCCGCACCCGGGGAATTCAGCCACGGTGCAGAAGTAGGTCAGAACGGCTTTGAAAAGAGCGAAAGGCAAGGGTTGTGTAGATCTCAAAGTGCTTTCTGTGAGGGTTTATTAAGCCGGGAGGATTTCTGCGCACGAGAAGCGAATTGTGTCTACCCTGGTGACTTTATTTCGAATGGAATCAGAGTTACTCTAATTTCTGCTTCCTCGGTGAGCTGGACCTGTGGAGAAGCGGCGTTACTGCTTGTCAGACACGGAGGGGGTCGCCGCAGACGCCGTCTCACGCGTAAGCATCCAGGACTCAAAAGCAGGAGGCAGAGGGTCCCCCAGACCCGGATCTCGCTCCCTTTACCTTAACTTTAGGAAGGTAATTTCCTCGTTCTTGCTCAGAAAACAACGGTGACAAGGAAAACATCCCACCATGTCCCAGCTGGGGGATGCTGTGGCCACTTGTGGTTTTCAAGTGTTGTCAATAGGTTGTGAAATATTGAGGGAAGACCCATGGAGCTTGGGAAGAACATGGAACACCCACTAGTGGGGAGGGGGGTGGAAACAGGCCCTGTGGCTGCTGTTTGGGGGTGCAGCAGAGCCGTGGAGGGCTCTAGGGGGGAATGTGCCGGGTCTTGTGTGCCCACAGCTGCTTCCAAAGTTGTGGGGCTGTTTACAGAGAGATTCCTGAGCAGTTTACTGTGGGTGACTGGGATCTAAATCGTGGTCTGCCACCACCCAGAGTGGTCTGAGGAGCTGCTGGGTGATGTCTCTCTTCCCTGGTTCTCCCACTCCCCGTGCAACAGGCTCTCTGTCCTTCCTCTTGGAATAACCCTCTGACAGCAAAGCGCTTCCGTGAGCCGTGGCAAACGTTCTCTTTAACGACTAGTCCACCTTCCTGGCTCTACAGCAGGGTGAGTAAGCCCAGCTCAGCGTCTGGGAGCTCTACCTCTAGAGTTATATTCGGGACTGTGTTTGGGCTCTGAGGTCCTTCGTCCCTTTCCGTCGATGCTTCTTGCGAAGGATTTTCACATCCGAGGGATAAGGATGAAGGCAGGTCATCCATCCCAAACACCCTTTCGTAGTTCTGAATGAGGAACTCCACAATCTGGGCTTGATACCCGGAGTCCACAAGGCACGACATTGAGACGTCGTTCCCTGAGCCTGGCCGGATCAGGGTTGGCCCAAATACTATGCCCAGGTTGTTTGGGGACATCTTGTTCTCTTCGTATTTCTCTGCCACCCTGGGGAAGGGAAACAGGACGGTTAGGGGCATCCCAGCTCCCAACCCCAATGCTGTGAGTACAGATGGAATGCACCAAACCCCCTGTTTCTTAGCAGAGAGACATCCCCCATCTTTCACAGGGACCAGAGCTCTGGTCTGTGCAGGGAAACGCCAGATTACAACCTCGGAAGCTGCCTGGATGGCGCAGCCCTCACGAGAGTGGCTGTTTCTTGCGACCCACGTTCAGAGCTGGGTGAAAGGGGCTTGGTTCGTGTTATTCCTTGACCTCTTCATGTTATTCCTTGACCTCCTGCTCTGCACCTCAACTATGAAGCGTCATCAGTGAGGACCTTCGGGTCCTTCTTGGCCACTAACACTGTCTCCTCATTGCTGCAAAATGGTCCTTTCCATGAATTTTCACCCTCCTCACAACTGCCTGCTTGGCTCTAGATCAGCCCGGATGCTCTTCCCGTAGGCACAAGCCGAGCTGGCCGTTCCTCTGGCAGCGAGGTGTCAGCAGGGATCTCCTGCTGCCGGGCCCGACGCCAACCCGACTCCTCACCTGTACAAGTGGGCAATAAGGTGCCGCAGGGTGTTGTAGTTGCTTCCAGGCAATTTGCTCAGCAAGTCCTTCATGCTCTGGATGGGATCTGAAGGGAAACCTGAGCCATCCAACTTCTCTTCCCCGGGTTTTTGTATATCTTTGGCGAGCGCGATGAGATCGTTGTAGAGCTGGGACAGCATCACCGGTGCCGAAAGCTGCAGCGAGAGGGGAAGAACGGCATCTTACGTCATCCTGTCGCTTCATCCGGCTGGTCTGGCGCTGAGGAAGCCGGTCAGCCAAGACCTGTCCCTCTCCGACAGGGATTTGGCACCCACCTCCTTCAGGAAATGCTTCAGGACCCCGGTGATGTCGTGGGGGGAGTGCTCCGAGAGCTCTACCAGACTCCACCCATTCTCAAATGCCTGGCACAGCTTTTCCACCCGGGCTTTGGATCCGCTTATCCGATAGATCCCCTGCATGGTTGGGAGGAGGAGGGGTCAGGAGTTTCAGCTACAGAGAATCCCAAAGCAAGAATAACCGACCGCTCACCTGCACCCCGAGGGCACGAGCTTCGATTTCCGAGGTGCATTTCACCACTATGAAAGGAACTTCCTCCGGGAAATCTCGAGGGAACTGCGTGAAGTCAATGCCGAAAAGAGGTACTCGGTTGGGCAGCTTCTTGTGGCCGCAGGTGACGAGCAGGTTCTCCAGACACTTTTTGTGGCAGGCCAGGCAGCACTGAAACGGCACAACCGCCCCGCGTTAGGGTCTGGTGGTGGTCCAGTGCTGCAGCCGTGGCTGAACCGGGAGGAATTCATGGAATGGTGGGATGGTTTGGGTGGGAGGGAACTTAAATCCCACCCA